GGCCGGGCCGGGCCGGGCCGGGGCGGCGCTGCGCAGCGGCCCCCTCACGCGCTGTCTTTGCCTTTCCTTGCAGAGTCCTTCGGCCAGAACTACCCCGAGGTAAATGTCGGGAGGGGGCGGCCGGGAGGGGGCGAGGCCGGCGGCGTGCCCTGACGCGGCCCCCGCCTTGCTGTCGCCCCCGCAGGAGGCCGATGGCACCTTGGACTGCATCAGCATGGCCCTCACCTGCACCTTCAACCGCTGGGGCACCCTGCTCGCCGTGGGCTGCAACGACGGGCGCATCGTCATCTGGGACTTCCTCACGAGGGGCATCGCCAAGATCATCAGCGCCCACATCCACCCCGTCTGCTCCCTGTGGTGAGGACCGGCCCCCCGCTCTCCCCCCGATAAACAGCTTAAATCAGGGGCTTGGTGGCAGCTGAGCTGCTGTTGTACAACCTTGCGGTGACAAATGTGCTCAGGTTTTGGTTCAAGCTTCCCGAGGTGGGTGTTTGCAGATGCTTTGATACCTGTCGGCTCTCAACATTGAGCCAGCCACTAAAATAGAAGCGAGTTAAGAGGTGCTCAGCTGTGCTGAGCTTAAAGTTTCTTTTAAGAGCGCTTGGAAAGATTACCCTCAGAAAGGTTTGGGGGAAAAAAGCTCAGAGGAGGTGCTTTTGAGGCTAACAGAGTTTTAGTTGAACCCAGTAGTTCGATCTGATAATTTGTTTAAAATCCATGTTGATTTGTAGACATGTGACATTTAAGGAAAACATCTTGACTCAAGTTGTCTCTTCTCTCTGTAGCTGGAGTCGAGATGGGCACAAACTGGTGAGTGCTTCAACCGACAACATTGTGTCGCAGTGGGACGTTCTCTCTGGAGACTGTGACCAGAGGTTTCGATTTCCTTCGCCCATCTTGAAAGTTCAGTATCACCCTCGAGACCAGTAAGTTTTGTGGAGAAAACAGTCAGGGATGTAATTAATGTTTATAAAGTAGTTCAGCTGCAGTTTTTGCAAAGCTTTTTTTCAATGCAGTATTTATAGTTTACTGACTCTGTGGTTAGAAAGGTGACTGGTTTTGTTGGGCGACTCTTTATTATGAAACTAGCAGAAAGGCATGAGAGGAAATGAAGGGATGAGTCTTAAAAGTGCGTGTGTAAATGTCTTATTGAGTCTACACCTTACTGTATTAACGTGGAAAAGCTTCCAAAAAAAGAAAGCAAACGGAAGTAGCAATAGCTTTCATTTTCAGATTATTTCTGCTTCTAAATGTAAAACAAAAATCCACAGAAGAAACTAGTAACTCTTTTTTTTTCTTCTTTTATTGCTTTACAGAAACAGGGTTTTGGTTTGTCCCATGAAGTCTGCTCCAGTGATGCTGACACTGCCTGACTCTAAACATGTTGTTCTACCCGTGGATGATGATTCGGATCTCAATGTTGTGGCCTCCTTTGACAGACGAGGGGAGTACATTTACACAGGCAATGCCAAGGGGAAGGTGAGACCTATACTGAGCAGGTGACGCCAGGTGAAATAGCTGAGATTGATTTTTTTTTTTCTTTCTCCCTTAAGATGATTGATCTTTTGAGTAACATTCTTTGTTTTAATATCCAAATAAGATTTCCTGAATGCCTCTTGAGAAAGTGATATAGTTTAGATTGATCTTTCTGATTAAGATATCTGATCTTATCTTTCAAGATCTGTGGTGTATGATTCCTTGTGTGAGTTACGTCTTGTTGCTGTGTTTGATCATGCTTGTTGCAGAGTGTATCCAAGCACACATGTGGTACTTTGAAAGTACTTTGAATGGACAGTTTTCTCAGAGGAGTTCAGAGCAGGATCTGCTAATTTAAGCCGTGGTCTGTCCAAAGTGCTGCTGCATATTTCACTGGTGGCCATAGGATGGCAAAACTGCTCATACAAGTTTCCAGAAGCAGCAAGTACTGTTGTAGAATCCCAACTATTCTGGTTTAAGTTGCTCGGGCTGCTGTTGGTAGCTGATGCAGAAGGTACTAAAATGGGAGTAAATCGTAACAAAGATACTAATTGCCTTCTCGTTCCTTAATCTGCAGATCTTGGTCTTAAAAACAGATAATCAAGATCTTGTTGCTTCCTTCAGAGTGACAACTGGAACTAGCAACACCACAGCTATTAAATCAATTGAATTTGCTCGGAAAGGAAGGTGAGTTATTTGTCAAGTGGTGTTTAAAGACAAATTGAAAGCTATAGATTGATAAAGTATATAAAGCTTAAAAAACTGAATTCTGTAACAGAATATATTCTGTTATTTCTTTTTTTAGTGTCTTACACTTCTAATGCAGCAAATGTTCTCTGCTCTTCTTGTTACAGCTGCTTTTTAATAAACACAGCTGACCGGATAATCCGAGTGTATGATGGGCGCGAAATTCTAACCTGTGGACGAGATGGGGAACCTGAACCAATGCAGAAGCTCCAGGATTTAGTTAACAGGTAGGAGGTGGCAAAACGGTTGGTCAGCCTGACCTGAAAAGGTGAGATTTGTGTGCTCTGCCCTGTTGAGAGATTTTGGACTAAGCCTGCTTCAGTATCTCCTTCGATAGAGTGGAAGAGTGTTTTCATTTGAAACTCGTGTCACAATTTAATTTAAAGTTCAATATGATTTGTGGATGGAGGCAATAAAATATCGGTTTGGGGAACAGTCCTACTCTTATTTCTTCTTTTTCCCTGTTTGAAATTATTTAACCAGCTGCTTTGAACTACACATTTCTTTGCATGCAGGACGCCGTGGAAGAAGTGCTGTTTCTCTGGGGATGGTGAATATATAGTGGCAGGTTCAGCACGACAGCATGCCCTGTACATCTGGGAAAAAAGCATTGGGAATCTAGTAAAAATCCTCCATGGGACCAGAGGAGAACTGCTTTTGGATGTAGCAGTAAGAACATTATTATTATGTGTCTGTAGTTTTGAAAAGTGATTTTTTCCTAATTGCATTTACAAATCAGGCCCCTCCTCTTTTTCTCTTTCGAATAAATCTAGTGGCATCCTGTGCGACCCATCATAGCATCGATTTCCAGCGGTGTTGTGTCAATCTGGGCTCAGAATCAAGTGGTAAGTGCTTTAAGTCTCTTTCTTCAGAGTCTTACTCAGTGATCTCCATCCAAGTGGACTGAATTAGGGCATAATTAAATCCTTTAGGATTATTATTATAAATGCAAATTGATCAAATTCTTTAGGTTCACCTGCATGACTTTGCAGAAAGCTTTTACTGTCATCATAGGAATGTTTTGTGTGTGAATGGTGTCCTGAGTGGGCTGTTCAAATGAGCGCATGAGACAAAGATGAAATGGTTAAGCATTAACACATAGCTTTGAATTTAGGATAATTTAAGGGATATTACAATGTGGTATTTTCAGTATGTGAGTTCACATGTGACCTGAAAAGATTTAGAAGCAGAATGAGATTTTGATTGCATGAGACCCTCGCCGTGGCTTGTGTTCCTTTACGTAAGGTAAAATTACTCTTGAATTTGTGTTTTAGGAAAACTGGAGTGCCTTTGCACCTGACTTCAAGGAGCTGGATGAAAATGTAGAGTATGAGGAAAGGGAGTCAGAGTTTGACATTGAAGATGAAGATAAGAGCGAACCAGAACAGACAGGTAAAGCATAAACTATGTCCCAAAGGTGTGGCTGTTTAGATATTCCATTTTTGTCTAGTAATTAGAGTGCAACTATGTGGCTACGTTGAAAATTAACGATTGTGGTGATATATATCAGTATTTTTACCAACTGATATCCTACAATGGTTTAAAAATGACTGCCCTTTCTGATATACTAGTAAATAGACATAACCCTTGTGAACATGCTTTCAAAGGAAATACTGCTGAATTTCAATCAGCAGAAACCCAACTTAGCCACTTGGTGGTGCCAAAAAATTACACACTTAAAGGCTGTAACCGAAGGAAGAATTGCTCCCAGTGTGTCACGGACCACTCTCTCTTTTCCTTACTGTCTTTAATTTTATTTTCCCCTGATTCTCAGGTGCTGATGCTGCAGAAGATGAAGAAGTTGACGTAACTAGTGTGGATCCCATTGCTGCCTTCTGTAGCAGGTGAAAGAATGCCTTTTGTTTAAGAAAGGAGTATGGAATGTATCAAGATTCTGCTTGTAATACCTTGTAACAACCTCCCACTTGGATTTTGTATGTTCTTTAGATAGTGAAAGAATTACTAGACCTATCTTTCACTAGATAGTGAAAGAAAGAAAGAAAGTATAAAAAGCCATTTGTGGAGACTGAGGTGTTCCTGTATCCAAAGATCACTGTGTTTCACTGCTGTGGTTGCTCTGTAAACAGGGTGAACCTTTATGCAGAGACAGATCATTGTTTATAGATACGAGGAAAGCACATCCTGCAAGCCCTAGTTTTAAATAAGATGTATGATTTCCTCCATAGTGATGAAGAACTGGAGGACTCGAAGGCTTTGCTTTACTTGCCCATTGCTCCTGAAGTGGAAGACCCAGAAGAAAACCCCTATGGTCCTCCACCTGATGCTCTTCAGAGCTCTTTAGTTGACGAGGGAATGGGTTCTGAGAAGAAAAGACAATCCTCCTCCGATGGACCTCAGGCACCAAAGAAGAAGCCCAAAACCACCAACATTGAACTGCAAGGAGTGCCTAATGATGGTGAGTAGAACCTCCAAGTGGATTAATGCCTGTTCTACCACAGAGATTTTTAGCTTGACCTAATCTTAAGACCAAGAATTCAGAAGATTACTCCTTATTTTTCTTCTTCCTGTGAGAGTATCTCATACACAGATAGTTAGTGGCAATCAGCTTTTGTTCGTCTTTAATTTGGTAGCCATTTTATTTTTTTAATTTAAATAGAAAAAGAAAGACTTCCTCAGTACATCATTTTTGCTGTACCAGTGTTAGAACGGAGATTTGTATTAGAGGAAATGAGCATTGTAAACTGTTTAGGACCTTCTATTCGCAAACAAGTAAATGTAGGCATATTTTTTTTTCTCAAAAGCCATCCTGTGACTTGAAGTTTATTTAGGTATAAAAGTGAGATGGTAACTAAATGAAATGCAGTTAATCTGCTGGATGCCTCAGGGACTGTTAGGGGCTGGCATAAGTATCCTAAGGGATAACTTATTTTGGCATCACTGTCTCTTCCCAGAAGTCCATCCGCTGCTGGGTGTGAAGGGCGATGGTAAATCCAAGAAGAAGCAAGCAGGCAGGCCTAAAGGATCAAAAGGTAAAGACAAAGATTCTCCATTTAAGCCGAAACTCTACAAAGGGGACAGAGGTGCTTTACCTCTGGAAGGAGCAGCGAAGGGTAAAGTGCAGGCGGAGCTGGGACAGCCTTTGGCAGGTAAGGAACCAGTGTGAGCGTCCTCGGCTTGCTTGGTGGCCTTGCTTTGTACACACCCTGACTTAATTTCGTCATTAATTCAATCTGCCCAAATGGCACTTGCTCCCTGAATGTTCAGCTGCTGTCCAGGATAGGCAAAATTTAACTTTTAATGTAAATGCTTCTGATATTTTTCATCAAAATGATATTCGTGCATGTGTTCTTGCTGAATATATAAGCATCAGTTGTTGTTTATGAAGAATATTCCGGGGGTTTAATGGAGGTTGAGCATACTTCAAAAGCAGTTTTTTTGATGATTTCTATCTTTTTGATAATTTATGTCAACCTACAAATTCTTAAGGAGTATATGCTTTTTTTCTGGGTAGAGTTCAACAAAATAAATCAAAATAATGGAGGTTTCTGAAGCTAAAAATTATATTTGATGACATCATTAACGTTAGGAACTATGATAGAGATAAAGAGCAGAAAAAGGTAAAGAGCAGAAAAAGGCAATCAAGGTTCTTTTTCCCTCAAAGAATATGAGTGTTGTCTGTTTTAAAGGGTTCCTGCCAAAGTACATACCTACAACTTTCCACTTAGTGTCTTTTAAATGCCTGAGTGCCTCTAATGGTCTGTTTCATTAAATGGACCTAGCGATAAAATTTAGGGTATGAATTTTCATATTTAGCTGTGCAGCAATGTTAAAATTCCCGAGTGCAGTTCCTGTAAATAAAGTTAGCTTTTGGTGGCCCTTTCCAGATTTTTGTAGTCATATGATGTTGGTCATAGTATTTCAAGGCAGAGTTACCTGTGTTGGGATCCAAAATTAAAATTTCAAAGGAAAATTGGGTCTCAGCTGACGAGTGTTTCTCATTTGCTTGTCTCTTGTTTGCCACCTGAGCTTGCTGTTTGGAAAGAATTCATTCAAGTGAGGTAAAGGAAGCAGGTTTGGATAAACCAGTGTGGACTCCTCTTATTTTTTGGCAATTCTTGTAGAAAAGATCTCGGGATTGATACATAGACAGTTCCATAGGCATGATGTGATTAATATATCAAATTTTGCACTTCCTTGGCCTGGCAGCTGCTGCTGTGGATTTTAAGCTGCGTAGATTTGATTTCCCCCCGCTCCCTTCCTTCCCTCCCTGCTGGTGCTACGTTTCCCACCCTGCTCCTTGGCCCTGCTCTGCTCCTGTTACTTTGCTTGCACTGGTATTGCTAATTTGCCTTTAAAGGGGATGTGATAAAAGAAACTTGGCTATACAGGGCAAAATGTGGTAGGTTTCTGGGTTTCCTTTTAATCTTTCGATGTATTTCAGCTTGCAAAATGCAGAAATTAAACAGGTACTAGTCCCAAACCCCTCCAAACCTTGCACCAAGCCCAGGAGCTGTCGATGCTCCTCGTGTCAGATTTGCCATCCAGGGTAGTTCACTCTGATTTCTCAGTCACGGCCCTTTGCAAATGCTTTAAAGTCACAGTAAAATAGTGACAAATATCTGGGTCCTAAAGCTACTCAGATGTCTCTGCTGGCTTCTGTCACGTGTCCTGGCTGCCCTGTTGTGTCCTCTTGGATGGACAGGACTGGTTTGCACATCAGTGTAACTGTTAGCTTCATCAGCAGGCCTGTTAATTACTTTCTTTTATCATTTAGAGTGTGGTTTCTAGAAGCAAATTTCAATCCTTATTTGCTTTTAAGGGAAAGCTGGAGCTTTTGGGTCTAGTTAGCAGCATAAGCAGTCTGTCTTCATATCAGTGGCTTTAATAATCTCTGTAATTTCTTCTTGAAGTTTGTAATTGCTCTTGCATCTGTCCCCTCTATAGAGCTGTAGGAAAAATATCAATCCTGTTTCCTCTGATATTCTTCATATGAAACAATATTCAAGACAGACTCTTTTTATTGTTCATCCTCACAAAGCCCCATTTGGGAGTTTTTGTGTGTGTGTGTTTGCAACAACCGCATGCATTGGTAGTGCTGTAGTCCCATTTGCTGTTGGATGATGGAATTTAACAACTTTGGAGTTTCACTTGTTAAACTACTCCCGAGCTTGGGATGTGCATTTCTGTGCCAGTGAAATTAGTTTTGGGGTTTTCACAGTTTAAAATGGAAATCTATTTTTTTTTCCACATGAACAAATGGTTTAAACCAGTTCCTGATTTACTTTACATATCTATGGAAGAGGGCAGAGAGCTCTCATTTATTTCTAAATGTTTGATGCCTGAAAGCACTTAAGGGTGTTTTTCCATAAGTGGCTTGATTGAGCTATAGACAAATAATCAATACCATTGCCCTGCACTTCGGTCTCGCAGTAGGATCCATTAGTGAGTTCCCTTCTACAGTGCTGGTGACTTCAGAGGACTTAATGAGTCCTAATAGCTCGAGAATCCTCAGCTACCTCATCTGTGCCTGTGAGCTGAAAAACAGATGCAGAAGTACTGGAGGTTTAAATTTATCTAAGATCGTATCTGTTGGTTATATCTTAGTGTGAAGAAAAAAAAAAAAAAGCCTTAGCATCTGGAAAATCTTGTTTTCCTTCTGGAAATGCTACCGTGTTTGGTAGTTGCTGGTTTCTCGTGCCGTCTGTTTATGAGTTTGATTTATTTTTTCCCCTCTCTTTGATCTCTTTAGCAGGTGGTGCAATCTCAGAACTGTTATGAAGACGCTCTTCTTTAGCTTCCTGTGCTCTTTCCTATATTGGCACCATAAATGTGGAAAATAGATGGAAGTGCTCAGTCAGAATGGACTGATTTTAATACAGCAGCCTGATTGTTCATGGATTCAGGGAGTGACTTTTGTAAGAAATGAATTATAGAAGAGGAACCAGCCTTCATTCCTCCTTAACTGCCTCTACATGGAACAATTTAAGATGCTGACCCTCTCAGGTTGTGCTATTTGCAAAGAGACTAATGGGACTGCCTTCATGCTGACAAGTTTAACTCTTTCTAAAAGTGAGCTGGTACCCAACCCTGCCACTCCAGAGCTTCCCAACCATTGCCCTTTTAAGTATTTTTTGTTCCTGGATGGAAGAATATCCAAAGTGTGTGTGTTTTTTATTCCAGATGCTCTATGATTGTCCCTCCCTTTCTTTGCTGTTAACTTTCATTTCAGTGAGTTGTAATTCTGCTCCTTCCATCCCGGCTGCGTGACCGTGTCAGCTTTTCTGTTTGCTCGCTGTGATGCCTTCCATGCTGCCAAGCCTAGTGAAATGCTGCGGATTATGGGCCAGGTTTGATTGCATCCCCAGTGCAAGGAGATGTCATTCGAAGAATCAGGACAGCCTCTGAAGTCTGCAAAGAGTGAATCTTCATATTGTGAATATTTTAGACATGAAGGATGACTCTGCTTGTGGAAAAATGAACAAGAGAAAGTAGCTCTAGATGAAAGACTCTTTAAATTTATATAGACTGTCTTCTAAAGAGTAATATGAAAGGCTGTGCTGGCACTTTTTCCCTCCTCGCAGGCGTTTTTATGCTGTGTCTTTCCTGTTATGTGTCCTGCTCAAAAGAACTGCGTTCCTTCTTAGCTGATGTCTGCTTGGCAGTCGGAGAAGAAACAGAGCCAATAATTCTCCTAATTCCAAGAGCAGTTTTCCAGTTTCCCACCCAAGACTTGAGAGATGATGAGAATAACAGCCTGAGTGCCAAACAACATGCACATCTTGAGGTTTTAACATGCTCATGTTTTTTTACACTTGTGGATCAAGACTAGAAGGGAGGTGACTGCTAACAGCTTATTCCCAACGATGCTTCAACCTTTGCTCCTCCATGACCTGTGTAACTTTTTCCTTCTGGAAATGGAAATTCTGCATCCGCTACCTGCAGACCCACGCGTCTGTGCTGGACCAGCAGCCTCTTAAAAGAAGGTTTCTATTCCTAATGCCCCTTGGTTTGTAGAGATTTTTCTAGGTCCTATGCAATTACTCCCACTTCTTCCCCGGTCATAATTGTATAGATTATCAGATGTATTTTTCAAAATATCTTGCAGCAGACACTAGAAGCCAAGAAGGAGACTCATAAAGATATTTATTAATTTGCAGTTGTACATATGCATTAGCTGCATGAGATTTAAACAGGGAATGGAGACATTTGAAATCAGGAGGTTTTTTTTAAGGTATTTTCATTTATGGCTTTGGTACAGCGGCCAGCTTCACTGGATGAAATGAATTCCTCTGGTGTATGGTATTAGTCTTCCGTGTTCTTTTTGCTTCTAGGACAATGCAGGTCCTTGTGGAAAACTATGATGTCAAATCCATCCTTTTGTGGTGTGTCTGAGCCCAATCCAAGCTTTAAAGATGCCCAGGTTAAAGATGCAGTGGTTCTTGAGACCCTTTTGCAGCTTACGATTCGCCACAGACTCCAGCTTTCCCTCCTGCTAGATCCTGTCTGTACAGTGTATATGTCCTTGGTTTATTTCCTTCCACCTATTATTTTATTTTTGGATATCTGTAGTTTTGTACCATATTTGTCGGATACCAGCCTGTTGGTAGCCTATAGCAGTGATGTTAGTTCCTGTGGTTGTAAATAAAGAGGTCTGTTTTATTTCCTATAGTCGACGCGTCCGTCGCGATGCCGGCGCTTCTCGATGTTCTTTTGTCTCCGGTGGTCCCACAAGGAGGGTCTTGTGGCCACGTTCTGGTCTGTGACATCAGCGCCGCTTCCCTGGGGAATCTGGGGGAGACACGAGGGGTTCCCCTAAGCCCTGCACGCATGGGGACATCCTCCCTCATAACATGTTCTCCAGGTGGCCTTGCATCTCTAGGTGGTCTCATGGCTCTTATGGTCTGGGTAATTTGGGGAATACTTTTGATTTGGGAATATGGGACACAACTGCCCTGGTTCTGTCTAAGCAGATACGATTGCTGTGTGCTGGCAGGGTTGTATTAAAGGTTACAGTAATAGTTACTCATTTTTAGGTAGGTGGGAAAGTTAAACAGGAACACTACTTCTTTATTGCAGGAAATCTAAAATAATATGTAAAATCTCAGAAGAAGGGAGATTTTGATCGTTTTAAAATTGTCCAGTCGATCCCAATTGCTGGAATATCGTGGATCAAAATACCCTGTTATGCTGCAATAGGACCTGGAATGTGGTTTGCACACTGAGTGGCGTGGTAACGTGTTGCATTTTCTTTAGCAGTGTTGCACCCCCAGCCCGTCACATTGGAGAGTTTTTCCTGATGGAAGCCTTGGGTCCTGAAGATGATGCTGGTGGAATTTCCCCAACCCTGACTTTGAATATTTTCAAAGAATGATCTGGGTTCATTTGACTACTGAATTTGGGTGGCTTTAGAAGGCAGGGTACCTAAAAGAGCTCCCCGCTATGAAGACCTTGGAAAGCAGCCTCATCCTCGGGATATTACCCTGCGTTTTCCATCTGCCTTTGATAGCCCCCTATCAAAATATAACTATCCCAGCAGAGCTGAAGACCGTCGTAGCTAAAGTGCCCGTCAACGCCACGTCCTGCAGCGTCACCTGCGGCCTGGGCTTCAAAGTGGAGGAGCTGTGCGAGGTCACGCCGGCCGGCGAGCGGAGGAATTGCACCCTGCGCACGTCCGACTGCGTCGCCAACTGGGTCTGTGGCTTGCAGCACTTCTCGGTGCCCTCGGGCAGACCCTTCCAGATCAGCTGCCTGAGCGCCCAGGCCACGGGCGTCGATAGCCAGGCCTATATTTATACGTGGAGACTCGCCCCGGGTCTCATCACCACCAACGACGGCCTCTTCAAGCCTTTCAAGAGCACTGAGCCTGTCATCAGGCTGTCGCCTACGCAGGAGTCAGATGCAGGCACATACCGGTGTGATGTGCAGGTGGCCAAGACCTTGAAAGTCATCAAGAGGATCTACTTCGGTGTCAGAGTGATCCAGAGCGACTTGGTGGATCTGAACTTTGAAAAGTCCTTGACTTTGGAGCAGAAAATAGCGGAAAATGAAGAGGAAGGAGGGAAACACAACGTTACCCACATAGAAATGCAGCAGCAGCAGAGCTTTTGGCAGAGTAAATTACTGAGTGACCCTTGGATAGGACTTGCAGCGGGGGTGCTAGGAGGAGTCCTGATGAGCGTAGTGCTCTACTTGGTGCGGAAGGCTTGGAGAAGAAACGCTGCAGAGAAATGAATTGAGCCTTAATGCCATTTCTTGGCTCTGTTTTCTTAATGTATATAGCAATAGCAGTATTCATGCAATATTTCGTGGTGGTATTGGTAATTTTCTTTTTCTGGCTGGTATAATACGGTTTATTAAGCATCATCTGTGGTGATGTGAGTGGATGCAGATGGCTCCTTTCAGTAGGTGGGGTTTCTCCAGCAAGACGTGCAGAGAAGCGAGAGCATCTCCAGGCGAGGCCTAGAAATCAGCTCCCGTGGTGCTTGTGGAAGGGCTGCCGGCTCCTCCCGTGCGGCAGCCTCCATCTGCTCCCACTGCCTCCCACTTTGCCCTCCGGGCCTCCCGCGCGCTGCTTTGCTCTCGCTGATGCTCCAGCCCGTTCACTTGGGCTCTCTCCAGCAGCCTTTTCCTGCCACAAGCTCCTGCGGCTCCTCTGGAGACGTGGGGTGAGGAACTGGGATCTGTTCTGGGCCAGCAGGGACGCGTCTTGGTGAACAGGACGCCACCTCTGATCCAGGACCCCGTTTTATTGATTTCTCCTTCTTGCTCTTTATTGATTTCTGGTTATTTGCTTTATTCCTGCCCCCACTTGCTGCACTCCAGAGTTCCCTGCCGTGAGCACCCGCCCTGCTCCGAACACACCGAGACGGGAGCAGCCCAAGCTACGGAGGCCAAGCCAGGTGAGATACCTGGTAGTTGAGCTCTCCATCCTTCGCTGCCGTGCAGGAAGTGGGTAATTAAGGTCATTATCGCTGCTGCAATCCTGAGCTAGCAAGTAATCAAAGACAGACGTGAATAAAACAGAAATAGGTTCATTCTGACGCAGAATAGTCTGACAAGGGGCTGGAGCTGCTCTTTCACGTGCTGCAAATCGTATATTCCTGCTGTGTGAATGACAACCAGTAGCTAGGTAAGCGCTAAATCTGCTCGTTTATGGGTTGCTCTTCCTTTGGTTTTCATGGATGCACCGAGTCTCAGTCTAGTACAGGAGAAAGCGCAAGGGAATAGCAGCTGCCTTCCCGAAACAGCCACAAACCTGCCAGAGTATAAATCTCTATTACTGCACTTCCCTTGCTCATTGCTTCTTCTTTTTTTTTTCCTATGTATAGACAAGGATGCAGCGTTGAACGGAGACTGAAGTTGGATATCCCGAGCTCTTTTTGCTTTCTGAATATGAAGAAATGGGCAACTCGTCTTTGTTTAGCTTAGGGATAACCTAAGGAGAAAGGGAAGTGCTGGCAGCAGCTGCCCTTGCTGCCTGCTCATTTTCCTTACTGGGATGAGACCTATTCCTGTCACATCTAGGGCAGGAAGCGGGATCTCCCCCGGGAGGTGACATATGCTTCATTTGGGGGCTAATGGGTAAAGGCACCAAAGAGAAGCTGCCCCATCTGGAAGGGGCTCCTTGTACTTTGTCATGCAAATGCGGAGCTTACATCCTGCAAAGAGCTGCGCTTTAGCGGTGCAGGAAGATGACAGGAAAGGTCCAGGCCCATCCATTTTCGCCCCGCTCAGCTGAGGAGGTCAGAGTGGGAGCCAAAAAGGTTCTTCATCTTTTTAGGGAATGAATTTCCAGTTGCTTCTACAAAGCGGTTGTCCCCTCCTCTTTTTGCCGGGGGGAAATCAGATGCCTGGAGTGGGAAAGGTTAATATATTTTTTTAATGGATATTTTAAGGTGGAGGGTAGTGTTAGAGAGCATGGTTCCCAATATCAGAAAGGATGAAACCAAACCTTCTGCTGACCTAGATCCCATTTGAAATAGCGCTCACATTGTCTATGTGTTTTTAACAGTTTAAAACACCTTTCTGAACATTTCCTTCAGTAGGTCTGCAGAGGAGGAAGGAAGAGAGGGTCATTCCTTGGCTGTCATATCTGTTCACCCCGACATAAGCACCTAATTTATGGAAAAACGTGACTCTTCCTGCTTGGAGTTGCTCGTGCACTGCCTAAATTATTGAATTATTGCCTCCGGTTGTTGTTGTTTGTCCTCTCCACCTACAGGAGAAGATCCCAGGGACCTGTTTGCAACCCCTGCCTCGCTGCAGCCTCCCAACCGTTCCCCCTACCGACTGCTGATGGTCCTGTTGGTGGACCTACGTGGACCTAGGACTGCTGATGGTCCTACGTGTCAGGAAGCCATTAGTGCCCTCCCTGCTCAAACCAGACAGATTGCAGGAGGGAGGAAGTCAATTTGCTAATGACATTATCATTTGCAAAGAAAAGAGGCAATAACAGAATGGAGGGGCCCGGGCAGCTGTTTCTATTGCTGTTAGCTAGCAAAGCTTATCCAAATTGAATAACTAGATGGCTCTAACTGCTGGAATTTGAAAGCAACAAAGAGGAAAACAAGGACCATATGCTGCTTTTTGCAGCGAGATGTGTCCGACTTCTGCCTCCTCTGCTCATCGATCTGTTCGTTTACTCTTTCCTGCAGTTTTCTGAGGCAGTTCAGTGATCTGAGCTGCATCAAGCACCGCAGCATTCACTGCATTCGTGTTCCCTGCTTCCTCCTTCATGTTCGCTGCCTCCTCCTCCTCCTCCCGCGCTGCTTTTCCTCTCCCTTCAGCTCATTTATTTGGTGTCTCGTTTCCTGCACGTTCCTGAGCCTCAGGATAAAAGAAGTAACTAGAAAGGGGATAATTTTCTTCACAGGCCTTTGCTTTTCTTAAAGTACTTTTCCTAGGTGGATATTTCTGAGCTTTTTACAACAGAATGGAAAAATCGATTGAAAAATAGTGGGAAAATATTAAAAAAAGAGCAAAATTCAGAAGTCAGTCTCCCCTTTCCACAATGCTTTTTTTTTTTTTTTTCCCAAGGAAATTGCAGCTTTTGGGTAGCGACTTTTGCCACAAAATACATTATAAATATGTGCATTTTTGTACATCTCAGGTGATACCAGCTTAGGCCTGGAACACATGTATAAAGCAGTAGTGATGCTAAATATTATTTTAGGTCATGTGTCATCCTAGGTCAAGTACAGAAAAAGGAATTTGCTGTTGTAGCACTAATCCTAAGCAGCAGTGTTTTAATTAACTCTAAATTAGAATGTGCTGAATCAAATGTAGGCTGGTAGGAGCTCGTTTTGTGCTTAGTTCAGAGAATTGTTGGTTTGTTTCTCGGGCCAAACTTCTTCAAGATTTTTGTGAAATATTGTTCAAAAGAGGTAGAATTGTTGTGAGTTATGTAATCGGAAGGAAAACCTGGCCCTTGTTTGGGACGTCTGCGGGACTTGCTACCTCGCAGCAAGGTCGTTTCTGTCCCTGCCGTCCCCAGGTCTGTCCTCAGGCTCTGTCTCAACGTGGTTTTCCCTTCACCTCCCTGTTTATCTTCCCTTGTTCTCCTCCCACTTCTTCTTAGTGTATTTTTTCTCCATTCAGCTCTCTCATTCCATCAATTTATGGAATTCCAACAGTTATCTCAGCAAACAAAGCGTGTAGGCCCACTCCAAAGTCCTGCAGTTTGATTTTTCCTGGTTTAATTATGTTTGAATTGCTTTAGGTATTTGTAACACCTGTCTTAAGCAGTATTTTGATAGGGACTAGATGGTCTCTAGGGGTCCCTTCCAACCCCAGCCACCCTGTGATTCTGGAGCTCCTTGCTGCGCTTCGCCTCGTTCAAGGTTTCTTCCTTAACGAAGGTTTTGTCTTTGGCTTCAGCCAGGGTCAATAAATCAACAGATCTTAAACAGCAACTGGGCGCCAATAAAGGCCTTTTTAGGCAGATCTCAAGTATTTTCAAATATTACACCCTGAATTCTTTTGAAAATCTGGCTTCAGTCCTCCCAGATTCACCCCTCGTACCCCCAACCCGTGCAAGGAAACCTGTTCTTGAGAAACACGGAGAATCCTCATCCGTCCTTAAACACGCGTGAGTCCTTGTGTGCTCGTCACATTCGGCCTGTCCTAGCCCTTTTCCTTGGAAAAAACCAGCAGGGATGCACATGAATGATGCATGTGGCCTCCCGGTGTGCCCAGGCCTGCTGGCCTTCCCGGCGGGAGCGGTTATCCCGGTCGGAAGCAGTGCCTCCATCTGCTCCGAGCGCCCCTCGGCGCTGACAGATGATGATGGTTTGTGAGGAAGCAGCAGGGCCCTGGCAGGGGGACCCAGCTGAGGCCTGGCCCTTCCCTGCTGCTTCCCCTAATGAGGCTCCCTCTGCCTCATGGAGCCATCGCGGCGGAAAAACCCGCGCTAATTAATGGCCTGGAGGAGCAAAGCCGAGCCCAGAGCCCTGCTCAGAGAGGCGCAGCGAGGCCTGAGCCCCCCGGCTCCCTTTGCAGCCGGTGCCCGGAGCTGCGAGGTGCTTCTGTGGCACCCAAAGGACAGTGACCAGCCACGGCTTGTCCTGGAAATCGGCTCAGAGCTGGAATGCCTATATTCTGAAGAGTTTTTTGCTGCTCTTTGAGCAAAAAGTGGCCCCTTGGCCTTTCTTGAGGCGAGACTCCGTGCGACACGTCTGCAGGTTGATGTGGTGTCTTTCTTGTGCGCTGATTCTTCCTTGTGAGCTGATTTATGGAATTAGAGCCTGTGGAGGGAAGGATTTCCGTGAAGGGGGTGATTTCCTCCCACATAAGCCGACCTGGGCGAGCCTGGGAGCTATAGGGGCTAATCCCGCTTTTCTGAAACACTTCCAGTCTTCACGCACAACCCGCGATCGGAGATGAAGCTCCTCACAAGCTGTCCCAGTCAGCTTTACCAAGCCAATTACCCTTTCTGCTAATAAGCTGCGTGAAATTTCCAGCCTGAGTTTCCTAGCATTAGTTTCTAGGCATTGGGATGCTAGGCAGGCAGGTCACACTGTGTGAATATACCTAATTAGCCCCTTAAAACCAGCAATTCCTTGCACCGAGGAGAGTCTCGCCTCTTTTTGGTAGCTATCACTGTCCCATAGGATGGAATTAGGGCTTACCCCGTCTTAATTAAATTAACTTTTGCCAAGGAGTTCAGCTCCACGTGGATGGAGTCTCAGCAAGGATATGTTTGCACTTAAAAACCAGGAGGAAAAATATGACCCTGGGCCAGGAAGGCTTGAACACAAGTACTGCAGACTCCAGGAGTTGTCTAAAGTCTCAGAGGATCTTTATTTACGAACTGCGTGCTACCGTAGCCAATAAATAACTGGAATTGTAGGAAATACAGTATGTTTACAATGTTTTCTGTTGTTTTTCTTAAAAAAAAAAATCCCGTACAGCAAAATCGGTGAGAAGAAAACGGTCCTGTTGCTGTGTGGGGAGGGTTGGTATGGATGGGGAAAGCTTTGCTGCTGTGTTGCAGGTGGCATCAGAGACCCTCCTCTGCCCAGGGCGATGCTGGAGACATCCCGGTGCTCTTTGGGCAAAGCCATGGAAGCAGGAATCAGAGAGATTCCTGCTTCAACCCCATGGCCCTTGGTGCTGAATTTAGCCCAGATGAGCTCAAACCAGAAGCGCCATGTGCAGTGCCCGGATGGTGATTAGCGCTGGGTGGGAGATGCCCTAATAATAATAATTAAATTCGAGGGGGTTCTTAACGAGGCGGGAGACTGATGTGCAGCTTAGTGCAATAGTGTCAATCCAACAAACTCCCTTAAGGGCGTCTAAATCCGAGCTCGTTGGTGCCGAGTGCGTTGTTGAGCCTTTAACCACCAGGCCTCAACTTGCCCTTTGCCATCTGCTGATATTGGAAGATCTTTACTACCATCCTATAAGCTCTCTCCTTCACTATGGTATTGCCCCATGCCTACCTGTTCTGCAGCTCTTGTGTAGGTGGAGGTGGAGTCTACGTGTGTATCTTTCTGAGTGCATGCATAAGGCTTAAAATCTTGCAAAAATTCAGGCCAAAAATAAGTTGGACGTGGAAATGTGGGTTTAAAATGTGTATTGGTGATGCTACTAATCTCAAACATACTGTTTTATCTTTTCAAAGAGGAAGCATACCTCGAATTCAAGCCATTTAACATTCAAGGGGATCTACTTGCAAGTCACTTAAAGGTTTTAGAAAACGTTGTCCTTGTATTTTACATATTAGAATATTTGCAAGTCCATTTGCAATACAGAGCAGTGCTAACTGAAACAAAGAAAAGCCAACTCGTGTAATTTGCCCCTTCTTTTATACGATGTGCCTGTGATCTAGTTGAACAAAGAGCTGTATGGAAAAATACATTAACCTTCCGAGCTTGCAAATTGCTGCTGATTAAAACCCCGTGGCTTTGCAGCATTTGGCTACCATGTTGTTTTAAAGCCCCTTGTTTTCCAACACCGCAAGGGTAAATGAAACGAGCGTAGCTGCTGGTGTTGCCAGACACATTTGGAAGCATCTGTGAGAGCAGGTTCACTAAGAGGTGTCGCGTGGGCTGCGTGGTTAGACCCAGACTGATGCCGAATCTCTGTCCTTGCATTTTGCAGCAGCCTTTTGCTACCGCGGGGTTATCCGTGGTGCCACCGTGCAGAATGTTAGCAGCATCAGGCCTGGCTTGACTCCTGTTTCTGCATCTCGGGTCAGGCACGTCCTTAAATCCTTCTGCTTTCGTCTGCTTCTCTGCCAAATAACGTCCGCGTTTCCCTTGGGGCTGCTCCAAGTCATCCCGCGGTGCTTGGAGCTCCAGGCAGATGATGCCTCCTAAATGTTCTCATCGTGTTCTCATCTCACCAGCTCTGCATATCAATCAGGTAAATGTTGTCCAAGCCCTAATTTGCTCTGTTTTCAGTAACACCGAATTCCTAATTTTCCTTTTATTGTTTGGGGGAGAAAGGTGGAAGGCCTAGCAAGAGCGAGGTGACGCGATAACAAAAAGGCTGAACTATTAACAACAGAAAACCTTTCGCCAAAGGAGCTTCCAAACATCAATAAAAAATACTTTAAAATCCTCAGAAACTGAAATCATACAAAAATATAATTTATACGTAAGACGTTATTCAAAAAGCAGTGTTACAGCCTGCCAGGGAGGGAGTAACTGGAGATTTCCTGGTGGAGCTGCAGGGTGATGTGAAGCAGCCACGAGCAGGGGCTGGGGTTGGTGATTCCACCCCTGCCTCAATCTGCACTGAACCAGTGGGAGCTGCTAGTTTTTCCCCACTTTATCCCAAGGATTATTTGTACCGGAAGCCACGAGCTGCTCTTTCTTTTCCCCACAGCTGCCCTCTAAATGTCTCTTGTCTCTTAAAGCATTTTTCTTATTTGCTAAGCACACAGGGGCCCTGCATCGCGCCCTGCAATCCTCCTCGTGCCGTTACCTCCTCACCACCGGCGCCCGCCAGATGCTCCGAGGTTGTAGTGGGCTGCTGTATGTAAGTACAATAGGACAAAACTCCCCTGGGAAGCCAGGGATTTATGTCCCTAAGCTCTTAAGTGCTCACTAGGGTCCAGGACAGTAGTTTTAAAAAGATTAGCTAGAGCAAGCCGCCCATGAGCCGTGTCTGAGAGTAGGGCCAGGCTGGTGATGAGCTGCAGCTCGTAAACAAGGGCTGGTTCAAGCTCACGTGCTCCTGTCTGCTGGCTTGCTGGGATGAACGGAACCACAGGGCCGTGTTGCTGTTCACGGGTGCAACAACTCGCCAGGGAAACTGGAGCCCTGGAGCCTGCCGTTTATTGGCACAATTCCTTGGTGTTATCCCAGGAGGATAGGCTATCCGTGGCCAGGAAGGAGGTGGGAGAAGCCTCCTGAACTAGCCTGTTCAGTGAGGTCGGGCAGGGCGAGGAGCTGGTATTTAGCTCCAACACTGCTCGCCAGCCCCTTCCCATTGCACAGTTGTGCAAATGTGGCTCTTTGTTAGGTAAACACGCCAAAACTGAGATCTCTAGGCCGGCAGTGTTGTCAACAGTGTTGGAAGAAAGTAGAGGCAAGTGGGTATCCCTGGAAGAGCTTGGAAAGAACCAGCCCACACTGTAAATCAGCTTCTCGTTAACTTTGGTTGCTTGATTGTTTCACCATGAGACAAGTGCATTTTAATACGCAACAACTATTCCCCAACCACTTTAGGTACTGGTGCTCCTCCGTCTCCCCATACATCTTTGGGGTGTCAGCTCCGAACCTTGCACCCAAAAACCAGCCTGACTTCTTGGTGGGATCTCAGCTGTGGTCCCAAGTTGAGGCTGGTGCTTTGGCTCGGTGGAGCCATTTATAGTGAGGAGATGAGTTTGCCCAAGTGCAAATTTTCATTGTTGCCTCATTGGAAGCTTCCTTGAGTCTCCAATTCCTGTTCAAATTATGGAATATTCTTTTTTTTTTCTTCCTTAAGATCCTCTCTGTACTTGCAGACATTAAAAATCTTAAAACCTTTTTATCAGCTGGTTTGTTCACTCCAAATCGGTGCATTCTAGTAGAGCGTCACCTTTTTGCTTACCCCTCCTCCCCAAGCAATAAGAAAAGAAGCCAACAATATAACAAAAACACCCCCAAAGCATGTGGGATATGGGTAATATTGAACATTGCACCTCACAGCATCGCAGTTGATATGAACAACAGGCTGGGGTCGCAAGTTAACACCATTGTCATTAAAAAAAAAAAAGACTTTTGCCATTTAAACTCTTGTATTCACCCGTCTCCTTCAGGAGGGAGATCAGTTTCTCTTGTGGCTTTATCTCCTTGGGCTGGTTGCTGCAAGATTTGGCTCATATAATGGGGAAATAAATCCTGTCCCAGAATTCCTTTGAGATGGCTGGGATTGGGGTTGGTATGAAACATGCCGATCGCTTTGAAATCTTCAGTCCCCGTCCTCCCTCTCCCCCCACCCCACAAAATACACTGCATATATTAAAAAAAAATCAGGTTGAGCAGTCTGATTATTTTAGTACATGGCTTCGTAAGGCAGAAAACCTACTGGGTACAGTGTATGGGACAGTCGGCTCTCAATATTCCTGTAGAGTTCTTCTTTGCTTTGCTCATTTCTTCAAAAATGTTCTGATTGGTTAAAGACCCATATCTTGTATGAAATCTTATATTCTTAAAAAAAAAAAAAAAAAAAAAAAAAAAAGGGTGTTTCTTTCTTCCTCTCTTAATACAACGTTGTCAAATCCTGTCTCCGTAGCGCCGCTGTGGCACCAACTCGACGGTGAAACAGCCAAATGCCAAGTCGTTCCCCACCAGCTTTGGAGGAAGCGTGTGCGGGAGTCCCGGTCGCGGGGACGGTCATCAGAGCCCCAGGTAGCCCATGAGGGCCAGCATGACCAGAGAGTTGGTTGTGATGACGATGACGTGTGGCACGGGCTTGGTCACGGAGTCTTCCACCATCATGCTTGTGCCTGAAAGAAAAGCAGCAAGAGAGGAGCAACTGGGCAACTGGATAATCCTGGGTTTAGTGCTGGAGAGGAATGCATTGGAAGATCCTTTAAGTGACGGGCATGAGGGAAACAGAGACTAATTCCAGACACCCAACATAAAACCCTGGGGTAGGATGTTTGCCCGTGTTCTTAGAATGGAAAGTGGAATTTTAAAGCATAAAGGCAGTTATAGTACCATGGTGTTTGGTCTGGAGTTACGACTGAATCACTACAGATCAAGGAACTGGGGTAGTAGATGGCAGGGTAACGAGCAGTCGTTAAAAATAGCTTCTCTATCCAAGCTCCTTCACCAATGAAGCAGCCTGTAAATGAGAATTGGTGCATAGGATGTGTCAGGGAAGCAGCACACATACGTACCACTGTTCCTGAGGATGTGGACTTCTGTTGGGACCCCATCTCCGCCAGGCCCTGTCACCCTGAGCTGCACGAAGGCATGGGTGAAGTCCTCAGGGATCGGGATGTCGATCCGGCTCTTGCTGGCCACATACAGCGTGGGAGCAGAGTGGGAATCCTTCCTGTAGAGCATCTGTTGGAAGAGGCAGGTTTATGTTCACTGAGAACATACGCGTGTCCCTGAGGACACACGTCAGAGGTGGTCTGCTACGTGTTGCCTGTACCTTGTACCCTGTAACTGCAGACTCATCTGCCTGGGCCACCACCGGGTCCCACTTGATGCTGACTGTAGACCCCGAAAAAGTCCAGGAGATGTTGCCTGGTGGCCTCCTTGGTGCTGGGAGACACAAAACAGGCCAGATAGTCAGTGAGGCAGGGAGCTGTGAGGAGGTTGTTGTGGGTTACAACTGTCACTAAGGTCACTTTGACTAGATGAAAGGGTTGGTGGCACTGCCATTGGCTAGTTTAAAATAAAAAACAAGCACCATATAGAAAAGAAGGAAAAGCACATATATTCACATACAAAAAACTGATATTTTCTCTGTGTGGGGCTCAAAATATTTCTTTACGGCTCTGACTGAGGACAGATCTTCTCAGGAAAGTGATGCACAGAGCGCGAGGCTGACCTAGGCGAATCCAGGGACTCCTGTTTTACTGGCTGTAAAAGCCGGTCAGTTGGCTGAGCATTGCCTGAGCTGCCCTTGAGGATCACCTGGAGGAAACATCTGCCCAGGGCAGCACAACGTGCAAACGTGGGGTGCTCGGGGCTCACTCACGGGGCTTCGTTGTGGTGGTGTTGGTGGAGGGACTGGGGGGCCCGGTGCCGGCGCGGTTGTAGGCTCTGACTGACACGTGGTATTTGGTGTTGGGGTTTAGGCCTGTTACGTGAGCAGATGTGACCAGTCCTGCTGTCCTCACTCTGTCAGCAGCCTCCTCTTTGTTGCCGTCCTTCCAGTACCGGATCTACATAGAAAAGAGCGAGGTGGGTTTGGTGAGGATGAAGTGGGCTCAGGGCGGATGAAGACACCTGCAAACCCGCTCCATCCACGGCCAGTGCTGGAGATCCCTTGGGTTTTGTTTTTGTGTCTTGCTCAGCATGGGCCTGGGAACAAAGGCACAACCCACGTGGAAAGGCAGGTAGAGAAGAGTGGATCTTTCTCTCTTGCTAATCTCTTGTCAGCAATAACACTGGTCCCCTGAGGGCCTCGTGCTGTCATCCTCCTTCATCTTTGGAAATCCTTTAGCTCCTCTCTGTGCACGTTATGGAGGTGTTTGCTGCGCAGGGCTCTGGCTCCTGGCTCAGTGTCCCTTGCTGCGGTGACAGCTCTTACCTCGTAGCCCAGGAGCACTCCGGTCATGTCTCCCTGCTCAACAGGCTCCCAGGACACGTCCATCTCGGAGGACAGGACGGCCTTGGCGGTAACTCTGGAAGGAGCCACTTTGGGTTCTGAAAAAGGCAAGAAAAGGGAATAAACCCCTTTTTCTGGATGCAGACAGCCCAGTCACTCCCCTGGAAGCAGAGACTTGACGGCGCCACCATTGCCAGACGAAGCCCTGGAGACGGGAGGTTCCCTGCTGTCCCTCCTTACCCTCCTCTGCAGAGTACACGATGGCCGTGAGGCTCTCTGGTCCCTCTCCCTTCCTGTTGTACGCCTTGATTTTCACCTCGAAGGGGGTGTAGGGCCCGATGCTCTCGTTGCGGTAGACGTAGTGCAGGGACTCGGCGTGCGGCACCCGGGCCGTCAGCCAGCCCTGGGTGCCCTTCTTGCGGAACGCCAGGATGTAGCCGAACCCGTCGCCGTTCTGATAGTCCCGCAGCGTGGGCTGGGAATGGGGCAAAGAGGAGCCGTGGCTCTGGGTCAACATCTCCATCCACAGCCAAGGAAATTGTCCCCTGCGGGTCCCCCCGGGTGGTGGCTGCGCAAATCCCCTTGCAACGAGCAGGGCTTTGGGCTGCTGCTCAAGCCCAGCCTTGGCTCGATGTCACCCCGCGGTTCTTCCTGCTCTGTTGGTGTCTCAGCTGGAACAAGGTGATTCCCGGGAAGCCCCATCCCGGCTCCCGAGGCCGGTGCTGCCGCTCACTTACCGTCCAGTTGATGATGAGCTCGTTGGGAGCCCCTCCGCCTCCGCTGAGCCCCGATGGTGCCACCGTAGGTGCTGTTGGAGACCCCAAAAGGGAAGAAGCAGCAGAAAAGGTTAGTGATGACAATAAGCTGGACTCTGCCAGGCCTGGGATTAGCCAGACTTGGACCTGTTACAAAACGCCAGCTCCTGTGACCACTGACTTATCCCTGGCTGCGTTTATTTAGCCACAGCATTTCTCAAACTATGAGAATCGAGCACAAAAGCAGCAATATGTGGGAGAGCTTTTATTAGAAAGGAATTAATATGCATTCCATATATTCAGAGCATTCCTCCTGCTGTTCTTACATCCCTTCTAATTACACGTTCAAGCAGCATTGGATACTATCTCCATGGCGGGAACAGCTATTTAATGGGAAAGTCACTTTCTTTAAGCAATATGGGGCTTCCAGGCATTGCTGCTCAGAAGCTACAGCACTGGAAACTCACGTTGGTCTTATTTCTACAACTGACCTGTTCAAATGGTTTCATGTATTGGTGAAGTTTCATGGTAAAGTTGGCACTTTGACACGTAAACAGGCAAATTGACCCCCAATTTTGTGGTGGCCCCTGCTGTGTAGCCCTCTAGATGATGATCTGGCTGTGTCAAAGGCAAGGTTCGAGCCAGGCTCCCCACTGTGGAGGAAAGGACATCCCTAACTCCTGTCTCCATCTCTGATGGTATCCACATACCTGCTTCTTTGGTACGGATTTTGCTGGAGGGTAAACTTGGTTCCCCAACTCCAAGGATGTTACTTGCTAAGACCCGAAACTCGTAGTCCATCCAGGGGATGAGGTTCACCACCTGGGCCGTCTCTGCGTTGCCCTCGATGTTTGCAGGATCTATATAATCCAATAACACGAGAAGAAAGCGGATAGAGCAAGTGGCAGCTGGCGGATGCGGAGCAAGGACGTGCCACCCCGAGCCCCTTCCGCTGTGGCCCTATGGACACTTACTGGTCCGTGCTTGTTTCCACTTGCCGGAGAGCAGGGTCCGGGCCTGGATGAGGTACCTGGCAATAGGGCTGTGGTTGTCAAAGCCGCGGCTCCAGCTCAGCTGGACACTGGTGTCGCTGATGTCTCTCACCACCACCCCGCCTGGTGGGCCTGGAGGTCCTGAGATGGTGGCAGACAGACAGACGTGTTAATTTTGTGGCAGCAATTTGGGTCTTTTTTTGGTATTTTTAATTCTCAAAGTCATAAATTAAGAGCAGATGTCTCTCCTCTGGAGGGTAGGAGGTCTCGCCTCAATTTTTTGGCCTCTTCCAAAGCTTTCAAGGTCTATCCCATCCAAATTCCAACGTGAGGTCAACAGGGAAGATGGTGCTAATACCTTGCAAGGACTATCCTGTTGCTTTGGACTTACGAGGAGCAGAGAAATTACCTCTCACAGTCAACATAGCTGACTCAGAAGCACTGTCCACCACGGTCTGCGCTGTGCACGTGTATCGCCCCGAGTGCTTTAGCTGCGCGTTAGAGATGCTCAGGTCCCCAATAGTTTCCTTCTGTGTGGAGAAGAGAACAGGCAGTGAGGACAGCATTAGATCACGGCTGGTCACAGTCCAGCATTTGACATGGAAACAAAAAAGCTTTAGTTTTGTGGCCTTTTTCATGACGCATAATTGCCCTTTCAGCTCACCACACTTGCTCGCCTGTAGTGCCCCTCCGACCTGTCCAAGTCAATGGGGAGGTCGTCGAGTGACCAGGTGAAGGTCAGGTCCATAGTTGGATCATGGGATGCGTGACACTGTAGAGTCAGGTTTTCACCTACGTTGATGTCAGCACTGGATGGTGACAGTGTGATTTTGGTGGCATCTGCGGAGAGAAAACCACAGAGAGAGGGGCAGTTAGCACACAGATTTGTGTTGGAGCATCCAAATGAACTTTCTAACTTCTCTTCACTCCCTAACAAGGAGCATCTGTAGTTTTACAAGAGGGAGATAAGGGACTACACTGGCAGGGAAAAGGAAATAGTTTTCCCCAAGCACCAGATGTTGGGGGGAAAGGAATGGCCGGTCAGATCATTCTACCTGGAGGTACCTTCAAGTAGAAGGACTGTTGTCCCGTAGGCTGAAATGACCCAGATTCCCAGAATTACTTTTAGGGAGGACAAGGAGAGGAAAAATACATTTCTCTTCACGTCGTAGCTTTCTTCATGTTTGACCCCAAAGCAAGCCAAGCGTCTCTACCTCGCACAGAGAGGATTCCCGTGCTGTTGGCCTTGCCCATGAAGTTCTCGGCGAAGCAGGTGTACTTTCCCTCATCAGATTTGCTGATATTCTGGAGGATCAAAGTGCCATCTGTGGTAATAGTCACCCTGGAAAGGAAGAAGCACCGCAACAAGAAGGAAGGTTAAAATGTCTGTTCGCTGCCTGACAAGCAGTTGTCAGTTCTTGCTGATCTTAGAGAAATTGGTGATAAAGATAGGACTGCAAGATGTTATGTAAGCATCCTTAAAGGAGAAGCCAGAGGAATAGCAAACTGTGTGTGTTTAGGGGTGTAGCAGCACACTTGTGGCAAGAAAAGAGGTGATTTCAGCTTTTTTTTTGGAGGCAGGAGCTGCCTTGGCGCTGCTACCTGCTGCTGTTGATGAGCAGTTCCGTCCCTTTGGTCCAGAGCACGGTGGCTTTTGGTGCTGCTCTTGGCTGGCATGGGATGATGACCTTCCCGCTTCGGGCTGCAGGTATTAGTCTCTTCACAGGGTTCAGTCTAAAATCGGGTGCTAAGGCTATGGGAGAAGAAGAGGATTAAGCTGGTTAGAAAACCGTGCTGCAAGAAGTGGTTTTAGCTGTGTTTCACTGTGTTTTAGCTATATTTGTTGCCAGATGACTCGGTAATAGAAGCATGGCAATATCGGGGTGAGCGAGATGGAGCGAGGCCCCTGCTGCCAAACGCCACGGGGTTTCTGCTGCTTGCCAAGGCGTATGACACGTGTGTCATACTTAGCAATGGTGCCGTGACCCTAACAAGTGCAAGGTCTTCGAGAGACACAAGAACAGCTGCTTTGGAAAATGTAGAGGATATTCCCTTCAATATCCTGGCCAGAGTCACCTGGTGCAGGTGCAGATGTCCAGCTCACCTAAAGCTCCTCCTGGAATTGCAGAGAAGCCACAGGGCTTGGTGGCCTCTCATTCTACTCTTAAAGCAGTTGATGCTTAGAGCTTTTCATTCCCCTCTAACATCTGCTGACCAACAGGAGATAAACTGTCAGACTAATGGGTGTAATGAGCCCAGTTCCAGGCACCATCCCTCAAAGCTGAACGGTGCTGAACTCTTCTCTGGACAATTTCCTCCCCCAAAAAGAGGTTGTTTAGTGCAAGGGAGCTTGTACTGCTCCTGTCCACTTTCTATAGCTAAACCAGATGTCCTTGTGCTCTCCTGGCATAGCTGAATTTACACAACATTCAAATTTTGGAAGGGTTGCAGAGTGCTTTGCTGAGCCAGCAACTACATTTCAATGGTGAGTGAAGCAGTTTTTGTCTGCCTTTATCATACTCTGATATGACAAGCGTAGTATATTGGGAAGAGGAACAAAACGCTTCAGTGTCCCATTGAAAGCCTGGGAAACGAGAAGTTACCTTGCACTGTTAATTCAGCGCTTGCATATATTGTGCCATGCTTGTTCTCAGCCACACACTGATACATGCCAGAGTCCTCCAGGACTAGCTTGGAAAATCTCAGCTCTCCACCGCTCACTTCGATGCGGTTCTGTGCAAACAAGAGGATCAACTCATTAGGGGAGGGTGACAAAATGGAACTCAAGCCTTGGGCATTCAGGGTTGAGTTTCATCCCAGACTCGTCAGCCAGTTTGAAGAGACTTTTACGGACTCTTATGCCTTGTTTTTTTTGTGGGGTTTCCGGGTATCCACCCCACATTGCTGTGCTCTCTTTGCCAAGACTTGTGAGCGCCTGAGCAGTAACATCACACGAAGACAGGCACAAGGCTATATTGATTATCAGTCCCCATAGCTGCATGGAAAACGATGGATGGCAGCGATGGGAGAAGGGGGTCAGCTCCGCAGCCTCATGGGCGAACACGGGGTAGAAATGGGGGCTCATAGGACAGGGCCGAGATGAATCGGAGGGTCTGGAAGGCCAGCGCGCTGAGCCGTGGAGAGCCCCCCTTCCCGCCGCCCGCGGTACCTGGGAGCTGAGCGGGTGCCCGTCGCGAAGCCACCGCACGGCCGGCCGCGGCTTGCCCGCTGCGGCGCAGCTCCAGCGCAGCTCCGCGCCGATGTCGGCCTCCGTGTCCGCCACCACCTTCAGCCACTCCGGCTGAGCTGCCGGGGAGCAAGAGCCGAGGGCATCGGGTAAGGGGCTGCTCGTGCCAGGCGGGCGGGAGAACCCGCGGTGCCATCCCGGCCGCCCTGGCATCCCTTTGTGGGTTTGCGTTTCGCCACAGGAACAGCCTTTGCCTTCTGCCAGGCTGAGTCCTCTGAGCGCCTGGCTGCCATTGGCCTTGCGGAGTGCACAAAATCGTGCCAGAATCCGGATTTATGGGAGAATATTAAGTTTGCTCTTTTTAAGGCAGCAGCCCTGAACTTTGAGAAAGATTGGGGATGGGCTAGAAGAACCAGATTAAGTTTGCTGTTTGACTCTATCTGATTATTAGCACCAAGCATTAACCCTTGGGCGGGTACCCCGAGCTTGGAGAAGATCTCAGTCAAGAGCAAAATGTGATTCTTACCACTCTGCTTCTATTTGTGATTTCCTCTCTTTTTCTATTTCTGCTTCGGGGCAAGCTAGGAGGACTCCCTATCCTGGCCACAGCCTCCTCCATGGAGGAAGGACATCAGTGATGTGCACAGCTTGGTGCTGGGCTCGGTGTTAGGTCTAACTGGGGCTGAGAGGAGGCAGCAGCAGAGGTGGCTGTGGTGCTCCCAACGGCTCCATCCATTCCCTGGGGCACCTCGTTGCACTTGGGTGTTCAGACGTGTTACCTTGAATGATGACGCGGCCCTGGTGCGTGGCCCTCCCTTTGGCGTTTTCAGCCTCGCACTCGTAAGTGCCTTCGTCCTCAAAGCCCACGTCTTGGATCTGCAAGAGGGGCTCGCTGGCGATCCACTTGGAGGGCTGCGAGCCGTCCACCTTCCTCCACTTTATCCGGGGCACGGGGCTGTGCGAAAGGACAGGAGATAAAGCCCAGCTCTAGGGCAGACAACCCGTCCTGTGCAAAACACTTAGTCCAAGCTCTGTTGAGCCACCCTGCTCCCACCCCAGCTGGCCCTTGGCTTGCAACCCAAGTTGCTTTGGCCGCTTCATTCCTCTTCCTTTCCCCACTCTGTCTTGTCTGCATAGGAGGAGTCGCCCTCCCGCCGAGCCTGGACCACACGGACACGAGACTCACTTTCCAAAGGCAAAGCACTCCAGAGTGACCATCTGCCCCGCCAGAGCGTAGGTGTCTGCAGGAAACCGGGCTTTTATGGTGGGTCCGTACTGCCTGGCATCTGCTGAAAGGAAAGCACCGCTCAGGAGCTCTGAGTCACCTTATGTATGTGGGGTCTTCAAGCACAAAGGGACCCGCAAGGGTTCCCCACTTTGCAAAACCTTCATGGGTTCGGATAATTTCTAGGAGGAGAGAGGCTAAGTTTCTATTTGCCTTTTAAAATGGCTCTTACTGAAGTCTGTAAACGCCTCTTTTTAACAACATCTCAGAACTATTTATCCTTAATTCCCTACCTGCTCAATCCGTTTCGCCCTGCCCAAGGACTATCTTTCGCCGCACCTCTGCAGGACAGAGTGTCCTTGTGGAGCTTGTGGGCTTTGAGGGGTTCATCTTGCATTTTACCAAGTGCCCTAATGATCATCTCAAAGGACTGACCATCTGCAGCAAGGCTGAGGCGGGAGAACTTGCTGAAGACGCTTTTGGTGATGAAGTCAATGTGGCTGGTGGCAAAGCACGAGTAGTTGCCCAGGTCGGAAGCCTCTGTCTTGGCAATGTAAAGGTTTCCTGTTGTCTGAGACACAAAGCGCCTTCCGTCCGCTGGGATGAAGTTGGGAAACTCGTTCAGAAGCCATCGGTAGGACAAGCCTGTGCGGAAAAGAGGGATAAATTGCACAAAATCCCGAGTTGCCTGTGTCCTCGCAAGCTGAATTAAGGTTAACGGGCAACTTTCTAGAGCAATCTAAGCCCGAGTTGTTCCTTGGATCATACTTGCTTTCTCCATGCACTAGATCCTATTCCTTCTCTGAGTTTCTGCAGTTTCTCCCCAAGTTTCTGCAGTTTCTCCCCATTTACGCCCTGTCTCCCCCAGTCCCCGGCGATGCTGAGCTGCAAACCCTCACCTGGGTAATGGGGAGGGGGGCTGCAGGTGAACATCACTCCCGAGCCTTCCGTGATCCTCACCGGGTCCCGCTCTTCCGCGGAGAATTCCTGCAAGACTAAGCACGCAAGGTGAAGCCTGGCTCGGCGTGGACAGAACAGCTGGAGATACTGGTGCATTTTTACCTGGACCTTAGCTTATTTCAAGGGGAAGGCGGGTTGTCATAATGGCAAGAAAATAGAGTAAATCTAGAGTGTGTTTTCTCTTCAACAGACTCTCTGCTTTAACAAAACGTGTTCCAGGGGGCAAAGGAATGGCGGGAATGCTCCTCTCCCCACACTGAGGCCTGTCTGTTCAGCACTCTTCCAGAGGGAGATCCAGAATCCCACTTTCTTGGCAGTGCATCCGTTCCCACCGCCCCTGCAGGTTAATGGGAGGTGCTGGGGGAATCCTCAAGGTGATGATTTTGGGTACCATGCTCAGACGAGCTCCTTATCAATGGGGAACCCCAGAGAGCCCGTGGCTGCCTTTCATTCACCTCGTGGAGCCCAACATGGGACTTACAGCCAAAACGGAGGGAGGCTTCCCTGCTCACCACCGTGCCCCGGGCGTTGGAGGCCACGCACTGGTAGGAACCGGCATCCTTGGACTTCACCGGGTTGCTTATGACGAGGTCGCCGGCCACCAGGCGGTAGCGGGAATCCGGCTCCATCCTTAGCTCCGTGCCGTTCATCTTCCACCTGCAAGAGCGCCGGGAGCGTGAGTGCTCGTTGCCCTCCATGAGGACATCAAGGGCTCCCAGTTAGAGATATGTCCGGTGTGGGAGCTGCCGGAGGAGGCTGGGAGCTCACCTGTAGGTCGCGGGAGGACTCGCTCTTGCCCGACAAGCCAACGTGACCTTCTCTTCGGCCGAGCCTTCGGGGAAGAGCGTGTTGACGGGCTGCTCTTCGAACACCGGCCCGTAGCTCCTCGTGCCGCCCTCTGCTTGGCAGCAAACTGCACGAGACAGGAGGGGGAAGCAGCTGAGCCTCTCCACACACATACACACAAAAAACGTCGTTTTGGGGTTTGTCAGCTGTCCCTGGCACCATCAGAACTGTCCCGCCGAAAAGAAGGAGAAATGAAAATCCCAGCCCATCTGTCAGGGTGGCCCAGCCCCAGAGAGTGTTTTGGGGAGGGATTTGAAGCTTTCTTAGGAGTTTGCAGACACGGGCTTTGACTCTGAGCTTTTATACACACGTGTGGATTGGGCAGAGGCCCAAGAGGAGTTTTCCTTATATAAGGAAAATCAGGATGCTCCCCAGCACAGCCTGGGACGTGCTCAGCCAGCCCCGGTGCTTTGTAATTGCCCTAATAACCACCTTCCAACTGCCGCACCAACCTACAATCCATCTCCTTCCCTCCAGCACAGTCCCTGCTCCAGGGAAGCGGCTCCACGTTTTCTGCAGGAGCAGCTTCCAGCTGGGAAAGGCCAGCTCGGCTCCCACGGGATCAGCCCTTCACCTGCAGCTCCTGCAGCTGCTTGCAGCCCGCTCCGGCGGCTCCCGCTTCCCAAACACCGGCAACGAGCGGCACACAGGGACCCTCACGGTCCCTGCTGTCACACAGACCTACGGGATACGTAGCCTCTCCTAAAACATCGGCACAGAAACAAGAGGAGCCTCGTCCTGAGGTTCAAAACCTCTCCAGATCCAAGAAGGTGCCTTTTCTTTCCCTCTAGGATAGTTATATTCCCAAAGGAGAAATTAGTGGGAGCTGGAAATCTCTTTTCTCCGTCGGGTCAGCAACAGCTGTGCTGGGCTGGTCTCAGCTGGAGATAACTCTCTGCTGGCTAGCAGTTAAAATAATCATGATTCAATGCAGTATTAATAAGAAAGGCGCGTATTAATTGTGTTCTGGTAGCTAATAGCGAACGGATTAAGGTTTAGCAGCTTTGCATTTTGAGATTTATGGGTAGCATGTAGTAAATAATTTATGTTTAATGTATAAAATACATATCAATACTCCCACGAGACCTCACTGAGAAGCTGTTTCCCAGTCAAACCAAGTTAAGCTCATCCTGCTTCTTATCCCACCCATAGCCCGGACCCCTGTTGCTCTCCTCTGCTGTCCCTTTTCCCTGCCAAGGTTATGGACTTCAACTGCCTGCCATTGATTTCCTCATTTGTAATCAATGCCAGAAGTCCAGACCCGCTTTCATCTACAATTCCAAGGTGTCTGAGTAGCGCTGGGGTAAAATATCCGGATCTCACTCATTAAGCAAACAACTGCTAGATTAAAGTAATAAATAGCTACGAGTTCAGCATGTGGTTAGAACTAAAGGCTGAGAATGAAGCAGAGCGTTGAATCTTGGTCCTCTTGAGCCGATCTGGGCTATTTCTGTCACTCCAGAACTGTCGTTTTTCATGTTAGCTGAGCAGGTGCCTTCGTCTGGCTCTGTCTTTGGGGTAGAGGATAAAACAAACACAAAATCAAGGTCTTCAGGCCCGATCTGCAGGGAGCCAAGTGACCCAGTCAGTTCAGATTTCCCTTTATTGCTCTGCCTGTGCTGAAAGCCACACCTGGAAAACTCTCGTGTTCAGGAGGCTGAGCATTTTTGCTTTATTTTGAGTCCCTCACGGCAGTGTCAGAGACCAGGAAAACAGCCCCAGAGCTGCAGCTGGGCTCCCTGCTCTGCCTTGGCAGCGACGCTTCCATTGAGCAATTCCCAGGCTTTGTAGCTGTGACCACAGCCGGGAGCCTGGCGCAGGAGGGAGCTGCAAAATTAATTGGCTTTATAAGAAATCTGAACACGCAGAAGAAAAGCACAAATCCAAGTGTTATTTTCGAGGAGCAGCTATCTGCGAAATGAAAGGAGAGCACTTCGGACAGCCTTAGACTTCAGGATTTTCTGTGGCTTTTACTCCGTGGAGAGAGGCCAGAGAGATTTCCTGAGCCTTGTTCATCAGAGGATCTTCTCTGTGCGTTTTAGGCGCTATAAACGTTCTGGTATCCCTGGGATGGCAGCATTTCCATGGCATGACAGGGAGAGGGGACAGTTACCTCTGCTTTGAGGTGACAAACAAGCCCGGAGGCCGCAAGCCTCGTCCTCTCCCACTCATTTCCTTGAGTCTTGGCTGGAGCTGGCATCATTTTGTCCCTGCTTCCTTGCTCGTATTCCCAGGGAGCCTTTCCCTCGCTTTCCGCCTGGCTTCCGAGATCCATTGCATCATGAGCCAAAGGTCAATGGAAAACAACTCTCCTCGGGCTTCGCACCGAGTCATTTTTCACGGGCTCAGCTTGAAGGGCGCCCAAGTCGCGTGAACGCAGCTGGTTAATGGGAGCGCCCAACTCTGCCCTGCTCCCTCTACCAGATTTGGGTCAGACTCATTTCCAAACAGGCTAATTGCCTCCCAATCTAGGGCAGCCACCCCTCCCTCTTCCCCCTGTGGGACCCAGAGAACATTAAAAGGTAATTAGATATTTATAAGGACAGCCGGGCAGTCTCTTCCTGGGATGATGAATTAGCTTGAAGACATTATCTACCTCTCAGCTGCCCGAAAATGAAATGTCTCCCTGCTGAAAAGGGACCTGCAAAGTGCCCGAGACTCCCCAGGATCCAAAACCCATCCCTGATGGATGAACAAGGGGGGGAATATTTGTATCTGGGGTGCAGCCTCCATGGATGTGCTGGGGCATGAGGTGGCTCCATGGGGAGCCCTGGGAGGCCAGGGCCTCTCCGGTGCCCCTGCATCTCCTGCATCCCACTTAATATCAAATCCAGGGAAGTGGAGGCTTCTTTGCAGCGCCAATCATCCCTATGCTCTTTCTCCAAGGTGTTTGGGGACAAGTTGGACATTTCGGAGATGTTGGATGTTCACAATTGCACATGGCACATTCCTTGGCTCTGTAACCCCCCAGGGAAAGCCCTGGGCCAGCTGCTCCCCCAAACCCGGGGCCTCTTCTCACCCATGCAGGAGATGACGGCCAGCGATGTGAAAAGAGCTCCTGCGGCCGCTGCCATCGTGGGGCTCCGTTACGGCCGGCTCGGTCGCGTCCCTACGGAGATGCAGAGGCAGAAACCCTGCAAGAGAAGGGAAAAAGGCCGATTGGGTTATTGGGGACATTTGTGTGGCATGATTGCCCAGCACAGCTGGCACAGGGGTCAGAGGAATCTCCTTTCCTTTCTGGCCTCATAATTCCAGTCGGGAAATGATTCCTCCTCCTTTTGCTCCCTGCCCTTCTTTCCCTCCCCTGTGCACCCCAGGTGCATTGGGGAGTGCAGCAAAATACGGCGCACGACTTGTGATAACTGCAACTCACAGGGACTGGAAAAGCCCCCTGGCCTCTGGCTTTCATCCCTATCCTCAGCCTCATCCTGGTGCTTGGAAGTGGCCAAATCCCAGAGCTCGAGCTTCATCTTCCAAGTTGGCCAGCGCAGCCTGCATTTTACTGCCTTCAAAATTAGTATTTTGATCAAACGGCCCCTTACCCGAGGCTGGAGCTGGTCCCTGGCCACAGGGAGAAGGGGAGAGCTGCTCTTGCAGCTGGGCAGCTTAGAGACGAGGAGGTGAAGGGCTGAGCCGCATTTCCATGCAAGCTGCCTGTTCTGCAAGCCCTGAACTAAGTCAGTCCTAGGAAATCGCTTGATGTCAACAAGACTCGTGCCCGCAACGCGCCATGCACCGAACCCACGGCCTTTGGGCCAACAGTGCCTCATTGTTCCCTTGCGTCCCCCTCGCCTGCTTCCCTCTCCCGTGCCTTGTGCTTCCCTCGTAAGCACTTTGGGACAAGGCCCAGCTTTCTGCTCGCTCCGGGCAGCACGGAGCCCTGCAGAGTCCCGCGCTGCTGCAGGGTGGGCTTGCAGGCGGGAGCATCGCGGCGCTAATTAGTAAGTTAATTAGCCCAAGTCTCTGCAGTTTGCTTGCTCTACCAGTGTGTCACCGTGCCCAGGGGCAGCGAGCACTGAAATTGTCCTCGCGCCCCATAGCAGGATATTAAAATCAAGACACCTCCTGTTAGTCCTTCCTCAGCCCCGTGTTCTGAGGCTCCGTGTCCTCTCTCGGCACCCGGGATGTGCACGGACGGACGCTGTCGCTCTGCCCTCCTCCATTCATTTTTCCTCTCATTTTTAAAGGAAAGGAAGGAGCGGGAGGGTGCTGGATTTCTTTGCTATTTGCGATTTATTTGAAGCTATATTTGCAGAGTTATTTGAGACGCGTTGGGAGCGTTGGCCGTCCGGGGGACACAGAAACCCTCCCTGGGGAGGGAGGGCAGCAGCAAAGCCCCCGAGCTCCCTGAGGAGCAGTAACCAGGTGCTGCTCCCGTCCCTCTCCTGCTCCTATTAACACTGCACACTTTCCCCTTTACAAATTACAGATGCCGGATCTGAACAGGAGCAAACTGCATCCTGCCTCTGCCGGGTGTTTCAGTGTAACCAGTTGTCCCAGCATGCGAGTGTGAGGGAACAGGCGGGCGAGTGGCGATACCCTCCTGCATGTATATTCCTCTGCCAGCTTCCCACCATGGCTTCCTCCCCCGTGGCTGAGCAGTGCTGTTGTCTTGTGGAAATTAAGCTGATTTGAATTATTTAATTAGTTATTGATTAATTATTTATTGTATAATCCGCAACTTTGATCCCCGGCTCTGGGCGGACTCGGGCTCTTGCATCCTTTGACCCTTTGCATCTGCTCTGTTTGTCTGCTCCGATTATTAGGGGGTGGCAGAGAGGGGCTCCTGGAGAGGCAGGCAGGGAGAGATGCCGCTGGGCTGCCCTTCCCAATCCAGCTTGGGCTCCTCTGCAGAACCTAGGAACGTGGTTTGCAGGGAATGCTCCCGGCATGGCCTTTGGGAAGCGAACGTGGAAGGGAGCAGCGGAGCAATTGCTGCCAATGCTGCTGTTGTAGCTGCTCGAGGTACCCCCCCAGATATTGTTCTGTGTGTTCCTGCTCGTCTTGTCACCCGATTGTCACGGGTGACATGTCCTCCGCATGGGTGACCGCGGGGCTGCCGCAGACCATGACCCGAGCCGTGAATTCCCCGCCTGCCTCCGAACTGCTCCAAGGCGGGACGTGTGCTTTGCATCTGCGACTTAGGCCTGCTCTCTACCCTTAATTAGCAGAGGGTCCGCGGGGAGCTGTTGGGTCCCCTCTTCCCGGGCTGTTTTGACAGTCGCTGCCGAGCCTTCTGTGGCGCTGAAAGGGGATCCGTCCCCGCTAATGGATGCGGTCATTAATACCCCGAGCAGCAAGGGACGGGCACGCTCCCCAACACAGGCGTGCTCTCCATTAGCTGCTTCCCGCGGAGGCCTCGGGAGCCCAAAGCGAGCCATTATCCTGGAAGCAGTGCTTTAGGGAAGGCTGAATTCCCCGGAGCCTCTTGCCGCACCCGCGGCTCCCTCCTTAACAGGGCAACACGGCTGGGAGAAGGGTCCTCTGGAAAGAGTCCAGGGGGGACCTTATTGTCATTGTGGATGTGCCACGGACCAGCCTAGTGACAGGGCTGATATTTGATATTCGGGGTGTTTTGGAGAGGGTCCCCGGCTGCGCTGATTCCCCTGACACAAGGACACAAGGCCCGGGGGAGACAAGCAGGGTGCTCCGCTCCTGAGCTCCTCTTAACATGGCCAGCACAGGCAGAGCACCATCTATCAGCAGGAGAAATGAGTGTTATTTAATCTCCTGTGGTTAGATGATGAGATGAGCATTTGCATTTAAGTGCTGCTGCTGTTCCTGGTGCAGCAGCATTCCCTAATGAGGAGCATCCTGACTCTGGCACCGACAGCGGGTGATTTAGGAGTTTCTCCTGAGCCGTGAGTATCCCTTTTATTAAGGATCATTGCAAAGGGCTGGATTTGTGCTGGAGTTTGGCTCGCAAAACCCACACTGCGTTTGGTACGCTTTGTTTTTCTCCAGAACAGCCAGTTTCAGTGAAACGGTTTCGCTCTAACATATCTGTCCTTTCACAAAGCTGCCCGTGCTCAGGCAAGGAGCTAGATTTAGATACAAATACCAGATTCAAACCCTCCCATCACTCCTATCTCATCAGTAACCCCCCAAAAATCCACAGAAACCTGGGTTGCAGTCGCAGAATCCCAGGATGGCTGAGGTTGGAAGGGACCTCTAGGGATCGCCCAGCCTCTGCTCCAGCAGGGACACCCAGAGCACGGGGCACCCGGGCGCATCCCGGCGGGTTGGGAGATGCCCAGAGCAGGAGCCTCCACAGCCTCCCCGGGCAGCCTGGGCCAGGGCTCGGGCACCCTCACCCCAAACAAGCTCTTCCTCACGGGCACGTGGAGCTGCCTGGGCTTCAGCTTGTCCCCATCGGCCCTTGTCCTGGCACTGGCCACCACCGAGAAGAGCTTGGCCCCTTCCTCCCTACATTCCCCTTCAGGTACTTGGACACATTGATCAGATCCCCTCTCCACCGTCTCTTCTCCAGGGAACACAGGCTCAGCTCGCTTAGTCTCTGCTCGTACGATAGATGCTCCAGTCCCTTCATCATCTTCGCTGTGCTGCGCTGGACCCTCTCTAGAAGCTCCACGTCCCTCTTGTCCTGAGGAGCCCAGAGCCGCCCCCAAAGCCCCAGGTAACTCCAGGTTCCACCCGTAGGCTCCAGCATCACCCGGAGGAGCCGGGCAAGGGTGGCACCAACCACCCAGGCGCCGGGGTGACAGCGCGAGGACAGCGCGGGGAGCTCCGAGGAAGCAGCGGGGCCGTCTCCGCGTGGCATTACGAGGGAGCAGATGGTGCTCGCGACCAGCCGCCCGCGCGTTAGTGACGGCGGGGAATGTTTGGCAGGGGGGACGCACCTTGTGCCTGTGGGGGGATTTGGGGGTGGGAAGGGGCAGCCTCGGATGAGCACACAGCACCCCCGGCATCAAGGGGTGCTCCTGTCTGCCCACCCAGCAAGGGGCTTTTGCTCCGGGTTGCTGGTGAGGAGGATGGAGCCCCAGGTGTGAGCAAATCCCCCCAGCCCTTTAGCTAATTCCCGCTAGCTAAATTGTACCTGGGAAGGCCTCTCTGTTATCCCAGTTTGCTGCAGAGAGCATGGAGTGTGCTGGAAAGAGGAAAGGGAGGGGAGATGCTGGGGAAAAGTTTCAGTTTTGGGGTGTTAAGTCTCGGTGGGGAGCTGAGCATGGCTCTGTTTCCCTATGTTGCTCCCCATCATGTGCCCTGCAGCTGCTTTGGGGTGTCCTGTCCCTGCTGTATCCCATGGATGCAAATATCCATGGCATTTGTGCCCATGTCCCATCCTGGCAGCAGCTGCCAGCATCCTGCCTGCATCCAGGAGCCCATAGCTTAAAATATATCAGGTGTTTTTAGAGACGGAGCAGCAGAATCCCAGCCTAAGTGTGGTACAGCCTGAAATCTGCTGTGCCTGTGGTTAAGAGAGAGGCTGGGCGCATGTTGGACCCCAAAACCCGGCTTCCCCAAAAGCCAGGGTTTGTTTTCCTTTAGCTCCGTTGCTCTCTGTTCTCTTTTGCTCCCGGTGTTCCCACCGTGATTCCCACCCCACGGCAGCACCGCAGGCCCCCGCACAGCCCTGCAAAGCTCTCAGCAGCTGGAATAACTCGGGATCATAGCCATGGAAACAGGCACTAGAAGGGGCTGGTTAGATTGTGTTATTAAAAAAAAAAAAAACAAAAAAGGTGTGAGAAAATCCCTTCCGAAGGCCAGGGAGCGGAAACCCCGCTCCTGAGGGCGCTGAAAGCTGTTTTTCAGGGAGGGAATCCCGGGAGCAGCCTGGAACTGCAGCGCAGGAGTCTCCTCCGACCAGCCCGTGCCTTTTGCAGCCGCTTTCCTGCCGCGCTGGGCTCCGATGTGGCCGGTGCGCTCCCGCTCTCCGAGCCCACGTTTCAGCAGCGGGTTACACGGCACATCATGGAAACAAGGGTCCAACACAGCACAGGTTCTGCTCTCTTATGCCCATGTACAACCCCTGCTAGCAGCAGTAGCAGGCTCATTTTCACCTGGGGACAAAATACACCCATCTAGTCTCTCCCGCATTAAGGCAGAGCCTTTGAGCACCCGCTCTGTTTCCTCGGGGTCTCTTAAGTGCCTCCTCTC